GTGCGGGCACAGGAGCTATGAGGGCCGTGCTCACTGCCCGACTCAGCAGGAAGCCCTGGTCTGTATCTGGCATCAGAGAGGAGGGGACAGGGACTTCGGCGTAGAGGGCTCCCTGTGGTGCGAAGAGCATGCCCAGTGCTGGTGTCTGCAGAGCCGCCTTCAGGGACACCTGGACCTGCATGGTCAGCCTGGTGGGAGCACCTGGTGGTGAGCTCCCAGGCCACAGCTGTAGACCTGGCTTCACATTCAGATTCCCAGCTGCCCAGCTGCCCACCCGCCTGCTGCCTGCCTCACCTAGCCACCAGCCGCTGCTGAGCAGCCTCCTCCTCATAGAGGAAGTTGTGCATCTTCTGCCGATAGTTGCTAAGAGAGATGGGGCCTGAGGCCAGGCTGCTGTGACTGAACTCCAAGGCCAGGGCCGGTGCCTTGTACTTGGCCACCAGGGCTGCTTCTTCAGCTGTGTGTGGCACGCAAGGAACCACGTGGCGGTTGCCTGTGTGCCAGCGGCCCCGCTCCTCGAGGAAGGTAGGTGCTGGCCTCCCACAGAATCCTAGGCTCTGTGCTTGGCCCAGCCGCAACCCCAGCTTCTGAAGCAGAACTGGCCGGCGGCCAAAGTCGAAGACCACCCACTGCTCAAAGGTACCAAAGGAGGCAGCCTGCACATGCACCTCCACCTGGAATTCAGCTGAGGTGTCAGGCACACGGAAGTGTTGCCCCTGCGCATACAGCTGGCCCCGTGGGAGGGAGGGGGCCACCAACGAGAAGTCTGCTCCAGGCTCCTGCTTGAGCAGGGCCACGTGGAGCAGAGGGTCCTAGGAGAAGAGACTGGATGTGAGGTGCACCCCCAGGCCCTGACCCAACCCTCTGGGCATCATCCCAGTCTCCTTCCCTCCCAAGAGGCAGTTCCAGCCACTCTCTGGGTGTAGAACCTACGCCTGATTAACCTCCCTGGTCTCCTCTGCATGGTGGGGGCATGGGACGTGCCTTAGGCCCTGTGGATGTGAGCATAGGCAGCCCGGGCCCACCCCACCCTCCCTCTCGGGGCACCAGACACTGCTAACCCATGAACGCTGCAGAGGGACCCTCAGGGTGGGGGCTCTTGAGATGCCCTGTCTGTAGGTAAGGAAACCGAGGCAGAGAACTAAGGAGCCTGCCCAGGTCCAGATCCCAGGCTTCTGACATCTACCCATCTCTGGTACTCACCTCCTGGGGCATCCTTCACCGAGGGATAGACTGGCCCACAAGGCCTGAGGCCTTGGATCTGTGCTAAGCCCTCACCTCAGAGTGGACAGTGAACGTCCAGCTGTGCTGGGTCTTCTTCTCCTGGGCCTGATGCACTAGGGGCTGGTGGCAAGTAATAGACACTCCAGGGACGGTCTCAGCCAGCTGCAGGGAAGACCTGGCCTTTAGCAGGGCAGCCTGAACCTATCCCCTACCCCTGGCACAGCCCCCACTTACCACCAGGACCTCGCTGCTGCTGTGCTGGTACTCAGCCAGCAGCCGCGCCCGGTAGGGCATCAACCCGTCCTTCCAGGCTTCTTGCTCCCGCAGCCGCAGGGCCTGTGCCCGCTGGACCCACTCTTGCAGTTCCTGGGCTGAGTGTGCCTTGGTGCAGATGTCCCCATATTCACAGAGGTCAGGCCTGGGGGCAGGGAGGTCATCAGGGCTACACGGAGGTGCAGCCGAAAGGTGGGCTGAAAGGCAGGCCTCCCATGCCCACTCTAGCCTGTATGGGAAGCAGGATGGATTCCAGGCCAGGGCACGCACGGACCTTGCCTGCTGTCTACTCCCATGCCCCTAGGACAAGGCCTGTCACGCAGCTCCAAGAAAGGGACTTTCCTTACCCAGGTCCTCAGAGGCCAGGTAGTGCTGACCCACTGGGAGAGGATGAGGCAGGTGCAGGGAGCCCCAGGACCATGAGTCTTGCATTTCCTGGTGCTGGCTGGTGGGGATTCGTCCCCCACCTTAGGTTCCCACCCAGCTGTCCTTACCTTGGGCAAAGCTCAAATGTAGACAACCCCATGGGTGGGCTGCGGTACTCCCAGGGCACAGCCTGGTCGTAGGCCACCATCTGTGCATGCTCCAGGGAGGAGCAGTGGTTCTCAAAGGCTTCCTGAGTGTGGCAGGTGACCAGGCAGGTGTGACAGTACAGCTGGACCCCAGGGGGCTGGCCCTGGGGCGCTGTACACTGTGCCTCCCCAAGGGCAGAGTGAGTGAGCAGGTCCTCCCGCCGGAGCCCATCCAGCCGCTCGGCCTTCCACACGGCCATCTCCACAGCACTGTGTGCATACTGGCAGCGGGCAGCACCATGGCGGCACGGCTGCCCACGCCCTACGAACATGCAGTAGTTCAGCAGGGGGCGATTCTGGGGCTGCGGCCGCACCTCTACAAACTGCCGCTTGCGGCCCTCGGTGCTGACATGGGCGAGGAGTGAGTGGCAGGTTCCATGCTCGGGGCACCGTCCCTGGGGGTCCATAGGGCTAAGGTGTGGGGGGCAGCGCCTGAAGCAGTGGGCACACAGAAGTTGGAAGTGGCCTCCGAACTCTGCACAGATGGTGTCAGCCGCCCCAGGTGGCCCACCCTGAGCCCTCTTGCCCTGCAAGGCAGCCTTCAGCCACAGACGGGAGAGGTTGTGCTTGCGTTCGAAGGTCCAGACCAGTGCCTCCTCACGGCTGTGGGCGAAGGTGCACTGGTTCCGGTGGCGCCGGCAGCCCAGCTCTGGGCTGTAGTAGCGACAGACTTTGTAGTACAGAGGCCTTGGGAAGGTGGGCCTGCGGCCCACCCTGCGCCAGACCTTACTCTTGGCAGTGCACTTGCAGCGGGCCAGCAGAATCTCCCGGGGGCAGCCATGCTCCACCTTCTGCAGCACATAGGTGGTCTCGTTGAGGCGCTGGGCACAGCGAGGGCAACCCAGATAGAGGTCCACTTGGGCGTAGAGCCTGGCTAGAGATGGCCCCTTGGTGGCCAGAGGGCTGGTGGGCAACGGACCACGCCCCTGGGATGCCATGTCTGAAGCTGACCAGGCTCTTCAGGGCGGCATTCAAGACTCCCTGGCCCACTGGGACAGGAGGCCCAAGTCAGGCAGAGGTCAGAGGGTCACCCACACATTCCCCCAGGCCAGGGTGAAGAATCCTGCCTAACCCAACCCACAGAGAGAACTGTTGGCAGTGGCCTTGACTGATGGAGAAGCTAAGGCTACTGGCCTGACCCACCAAACCCCTTCCTCCTGAAGGGTCTCCAGCTTGCTCAAGAGAAGCAGAAGTGACAGCTGGGGACGCAGGAGAACCCTGGAGGCTACAGAAGCTGGGCCCAGTGAGGCCTGGGACTCCCAGGTTTCCGTCTCCTTTACAGACACTATACCTCTTTTCTGAGAGTCCACAGTGTCTCTTAGGGTGACTGCACCCCTAGTCTTGGCAGTGGGGACCCAGGGTGGGGAGGACATAGCCCTGCAGAGGACCAACCCTTCCCAGGTAGGACAGATAACAGAGTTCCTACAGGGATGCCAGGAGAGGGGGCTGCCCAGGACCCAGAGTTTTAGCTGGGGCCACCCCAGCTGGGACGAGGGAGGTGACAGCTCCTTGCACACTCTGCTGGCCAGGAATCTTTGGGGTAATACAAAGACAATGTTTAAAAAAAAAAAAAAAAAGACTGGGGCTGTGGTTGTGGCTCAGTGGTAGAGAGCTCGCCTAGCACGTGTGAGGCCCTGGGTTCGATCCTCAGCACCACATAAAAATAAATAAATAAAATATTGTGTCCAACTACAACTAAAAAATAAATAATAATAATAAAGAAAGGAAAATGACTAGGGCAGCCACCCAGGGTCTGAAAAACCCCTGCACCCAAGTGGAAATTTCTGAGCCCAACTGAGCCAAGACCCCAACCAGGTGCTGGATCCAGCAGGAGATGCAAGGGAGCCTGGTTGTGCTGCTGTGGGTGGGGTCGGGGGGCCTTCCAGGCAGCTGGCTCACTCCCCGGGACTCACTGGGCGCTGGCATCCCTCCCCTCCCCAGCAGGCCCTCCCGTCTCGGCTCCAGCTACCACCAGGGGTTTACCCTGCACTCACCAGCACCAACCTCCAGCAGTGATCACTTTCGATTCTGCCCCTGGGGCGGCTCAAACCTCAGATGCCTGATCACGGAAATTACCTCACTGACCCCTGCCCCGCCCCCGCCCCTGCCCCGCCCTCGAGTGACACCTCCCCTCCCAGCCTTGGTGGAGCTCCCTGGACTGCGGATGAAAGTAGGAAGAGTCCTGGGGTGCCCTGCAGTCAGCCCTTCTTGGCCCCAGCCTCACACACACATTCTTCTGTGGCCTTGGGTGTACGGAGGAGGAGTTTCAACCTGGGCAGATGGCTAATGGTGCCATGCCCATTTGGGGTTTAAAAGGTATTCCTAGTGGAGGTGAGGAGCACTTTCTTGCAGACCCCGGAGCCCGCACAAGTGCACTCTGGCTAGAAAGGAGTACTGGGGAGGGGGAACGGGCTGAGAGTTCTGCAGGGGGAGGGGCCCTTTCCTAAAAGGAAACATCCCTCTGAGGCTCTAGTGACTACATCCAACCCCCTAAAACAAATGAAGAGGTCCAAGCTATGACTTGAAGAGCCAGGAGCATTACACAACCTCTCTTGAGCTGTGCCTAACCTCCTGGCCTTGTGGAGAAGGGCCACCATCAGCTGAGCGCAGCAGTCACCCCAAAGGCTACACAGCCAGCTGATCCCCAGCTGAGCCAGGAAACTGTGGGCGCAGGATCCTGATCTCGCCCACTGCAAAGGCCAACCTGAGCAACCAGGGAGCCTGGTACAAAACTGGCTGGGTATCAAAAAAGACTGCCAACTTCCTCCCTCCCTGCTCTCTCTGACCACACATGTTGGGGGACACCCCAGGACCACTCCTCCCAGAGGGGAGCTATATCGGGGAGAACTGAGGCTCCTGCCAACCTCCAGCCCTGGCCAACAGCCTGACTGCAGCCTCAGTAGACGCCAAGCCGGAACCACACCTTGTCACTTCCAGCAGCGAGATCATAAATGTTTATTGTGGTTTTAAGCACTAGGTTTGGGTGGCTTGTTACACGGCAGTTGATAGCTACTGCAGCTCTGTGGTCTCTCAAACAATAAGGCACATCTGTCTCCAATCTCCCTCCCGCCAGGCAAGTGTCAAGCAGAAGCTCTACCGCTGGGCACACACCAATAACCAGGAGCCTCTGAACACACAGATATCAGAAAAGAGGACGAGAAAGAGATTCCCAAACAGGAGCAGCACGAGAAATGAAGTTGAAAAACATGCAAGAAGATCTTCGGGTACTCCTGGGGATCATGGGGCACTGCTGAGACAGCAAGAGGGCTCTGTTCTCACACAGGAAGACCTAACCCTAAATCTGTCTGAATAATGCAAATTACAATGAAGTGCCAAAGGAAATGGGACATAGTAGACACACTGGTTGTAAGATTCTTTTGGGAAAGCATCTCATAAACAAGAATAGGCAGGACAATCGCTAGAAAGAGTATTCCGAGCATGTGCCACTGCAAACCCCTGAAGGAAGAGCATGAGCACAAGCACATCAGCAGATTTCAGGGCTTAGCAGAGAGCCCTGAAGCCAACCCAAGCACATGCCAGTGTCACCTGTGAAGAGTGGCAGCGCTTCAGACCACAGGGGAAGTCAGATTGTTCAAGCCTGGTTAACAATCGTCACATCCTGAAACAAAAACAGCAGAGTGGGGAAGGCCTTGATGCAAATAGTGACAGAAGATTAAAACAGGAAACGCAACCACCACAGAGACCCTGGAAGAAACCTAGGCAGAACGTGTCTGCCAGTCAGTAGTCTTGTATAGGACTGGCCTTCCGAAGGAGGGCCCATCCCTGCGGCCAGCATGTTGGGCATACTCCTTCCCACTCAGGACTAAGGGACTCTGTACTCCGAGCAGACTATGAGGGACAGTGTTCAATAATTCTTTCCTTCTCATAGAGCCAGCTGTTAAACATCTACCTGTGTGCGCTGACAGGTCCAGCCACACGAGAGCAAAGCAAGCCTAGCTCATGTCACAGTGAGATTCTCAGTTCTTTAGTATTTTAAAGATCTAAAGATTTAGTATTTTAAAGATCTTAAAAATTCAGAAAAATATCCAGCCTAAGAGAAAAGTAGGCAAAGCATGTGATCCAATACTGCACGCACCACAAAGGAACTAGAAATTGGCCACTGTGGTGCACACCTGTAATCCCAGCAGCTCGGGAAGCTGAGACAGGAGGATTATGAGTTCAAAGCCAGTTTCAGCAATTTAGCCAAGCCCTAAGCAACTTAACAAAACCCTGACTCTAAACAAAATATAAAAAAGGGCTAGAGATGTGGCTCAGGGGTTAACACCCCTGGGTTCAATCTCTGGTACTGAAAAAAAAGAGGAGGTGCTGGGAGTGTAGCTCAGTGGTGTAGCACCTGCCTATCTCCTGGCTAGCACATGTGAAACCCTGGGTTTAATTCCTAGTATGGGAAAAAAATCAAATTAAAAAGAAACAAAGTGCGTTCCCATCCCCCACTCAGCTTCATCTCCTGAACCATTTGTTCCCAGAGTCCACGGTGCCTAGCCTGGCTTTGCCCTCTGCCAGTGCTAGGAGCCATGGAGGAAATTCAGCCCAGGTCTCCTGTGGTCTGGGGGCAAGGCCCAGCTTTTCTGAGGGGCATCTTTTGCTCTAAGCAGCACCCAATACCTGTCCCCCTCCCCCCACCCAGGAACTTCTGCTCTGGCAGAAGCTCATCTAGGAGTGACCAGGTGGCCAAGTGTGGTGGCTGTGGTATGGCAATGTCTAGATTTTGTCAGCACCCAGGGATCCTGGCTTAAGCCAGGGAAAGACACAGATTCCCTCCTCCTGGGATCAGGGGAGGGGCTGCATCTGTACCAGACAGACATTGCCAAGGAAGCACCTAGGCCCTGGGTGCTCCCAGATGCCCCCTTGCCCTACCCCCTCAGCATCTCTGCAGGGCCTCCAACCCAACCTCACTCCTCCCCAAACTGCATGCGTCAAATCAGTCCCCAGTAGAGGGGGGGGCTGTACTTCCCTGCTAGTCCCCACCCACAGTGCCCAGCCTGGGCTGCCCCACCCCCATCAGACTCATAACTTGATTAAAACCCTCCTAAGAGCATGTCATGGGTGTCCCCAAGGGTCCATGCCCCCAGGTGGCATCTTGCCTTGTCATTCTGAGTGCTCCACTCCATAGCCAGCTCTCTAGAATGACTGGGAGAGGGGATGCACTCAGTATAAGGAGAGGGGTGGGCAGGAGTATCCCACCACATCAGCCTGCGGCTGCAGGCCCAACAAGGCCATGGGGGATCCCTTTTGTTGGGGCTGGGGGGGTGACCATTCCAAATTCCTAGACACTTGGTCCTGCAGAGCCTGGCTCCCCTCGTGCTTTGTGGGATGGCATGCCCAGAAGAAGAAGTCAGGTAGGGGACACAGTCCACCCTCCCTTCCTCCACAGCCTCCCTGTGTGCTGCTCCTCCTTGACACCTAGACGTGGCTTGCTCTGGGAACCCAGAGGGTCAAGTCCATACTCCTGGCCTCTGGCCTCAGCCCTCACTGTGACACCTGCCTGTTACCTTCCAGGGTGTCTGCTCCACTGCCACTCCCTGTGCATACCAGGCACCTCTAGGGCCTGTGGTTGTGACTGGGGATTGGCCAGTGTGCAGAGGACAGGAAGAACTGTGTAGCTACTCGTGGCCAGTGTGGCTGCCTGAGTGACCCCAAGCTTGTAGAAGCTGGATGGAACACAGTTGCCAGTGTGGGGAGCCAGCCCAGACCCAGGTGTGCAGCTAGAATCTCCTCGAGGGCCAAGCAGAAGAGTGTCTTCAACAATGGTGCTGGGACCACTGAGCTGAAGCTGGGGGGGGACGGGGGGAGCCAGGCCTGACCTGCACCCCAGCTCAAGGGCTCCCAGGGCCAACTGAACATGGAGTGAGATGTGGGAACCAGAGCTCCTCACAGCCTGGGGAGGCAGCCCCTTCTCTGAAAGGACATGGAAGCACTGATGGAAAAATTGGTAAATTGTTTCCACAAATATCAGAACTCCTGCACTTTAAAGGACATCAGTGATAAAAATGAAAAGGTAAACTATCAACAGAGGAGATATATTAAAAATAAACAGACCTAAGGAATCCAGAGCAGGTTTTGGTTTTTTGTTTTGCTTTGTTTGGTTTTTTTGGGTGCTAGGGATAGAACCCAGGGCCTTGCTATGCTGGACAAGCTCTGCCTCTGAGCTAACTCCTTGCCTGAGATTGTTTCAAATTTTTAAAATTCAAAAATTAAAGGCTGGTTTCTAAAAATGAACAAAATATTTGAGACACACCTCACATAAAAAATATAAAAATGACCAAAAGCACAAAAAGACACTCCACATGAAGTCCTTTGGAGACACAAACCAGAGCTCCTGAGGTGAGGCTGTGTACCTGGATGAAGTTGGACCCTCCCAGGCATGGAGGAGGCACCAGATGCTGCAGCCAGCTCAGAAACCAGTTTGGAAGTTTCTGGCAAAGTCAAATGAACATTGACCTCATGACTAAACAACTGCATGCCTACCACACCTGCCCAAGGAGATGAAACACACCTGCACTTTCTCTTTCCTTCATGGTGCTGGGGGCTGAACCCAGGGGTGCTCTGCCACTGTGCTACACCCCAGCCCTTTTTACTTTTTTATTTTGAGACAGGATCTTGCTAAGTTACCAACCTGCCTGGCACTTACAATCCTCCTGCCTCAGCCTCCTTGGTAGCTGAGATGCAGACCTGGCCACTGAGCCCAACAACACACAGACATTTTCGATGTATGGTTGCATTACACGACGCTAAGGAGCAGCTGTGAACCAGGTCATGGTAGCAGAGTGGGGAGTGGTTGGGAAGGGGAAGGAGGGAATGCCCTACCTCAGCCAGGGCCACAGTTCTCTGTCCATCGCCGAGACTCAGCCACAGTCCTCCGGAGTGCTGTGTTTCACTGAACGTACGTTTCACCACAGCACAATTTGTGTGTGTGCATGTGTGGCTATGCACTTCCTGCTCACCCAGATATCAAGAAGGAACAGTGCACCAGGAGTGCAGCAGGCCAGCCTCAAGCCGATATTGGCCTCCGGTTGCTTGGGGAGCCCAAGGTGCCACCTACCCCATCCCTCATGGAGTCAGGAGCTGGAGCCAGATGGATCTGGCAGGGCCTTGGGCAGCCCACCCTGCCCACCAAGCAAGGCATCCACCCAGGCCAGAGGCAGCGATCAGAACTTGCACACACCCACTCTACCCTCATGGTGCAGGAGCTGCACATATAACCAACCGGCCCAGGTGGAACTGCCCCATGCCAACCCCTCTGCACAGAGAGGGTCCAGCACCACACACCACGGAGCATCCCCTCAGGTACCAAACAATGAGCAGGACCTGGGCTCAGAAGGAAAGTTGATTAAGACAGCAAGTTCCAGTCAGTATGACTATGACAAGTGACCCAAAACCCAGACATAAAACAACCCTCCATGATGGCCACAAAAGACACAGGCACAGACTCAAAAGTCAGCTGGTCTTATGATACCCAGATCCTCAGCCAGAGAGGTGGATTCTGCAGTAGGAGGCACCTGAGGCTCCTTAAGCACCTACCTCCACTTCTACGAGATCACCCAACATAACAGCTGAAGTCCAAAATGGTGGGCAGGGGAGAAAGGGTGAATGGAAACTCCACCATCTTCTCCCAGTCCAACCTGATTGCTGCCACATTCTAGTCCTCAAAAGTGAGTCCCAAGGCCAGGTGTGGTGGCACACTCCTGTAATGCCAGCACCTACGGAGGCTGAGGCAGGAGGAGCACAAGTTCAAAGCCAGTCTCAGCAATTTAGTGAAACCCTAAGCAACTTAGTGAGACACTGTATCAAAAATTAAAAATAAGCCAGGCATAGTGGCACATGCCTGTAATCCCAGAGGTTCTGGAGGCTGAGGCAGGAGGATCACAAGTTCAAAGACAGCCTTAGCAATGGTGAAGCACTGAGCAATTCAGTGAGACCCTGTCTCTAAATAAAATACAAAATAGGGCTGGGGATATGGCTCAGTGGTTGAGTGCCCCTGAGTTCTATTCCTGGTACTAATAAATAAATAAAATAAAAGGGGCACAGGACGTGGCTCAGTGTGGCTTGGGGTCTAATCTCCAGTACCAAAAAAAAAAAGAGTCACCAGGCTGGTCCAAAACCAAGGGGTGGGGAATTAGACCCCCAACTTTTGTGGGAGGCGTGCCATAGACTTCATGAACATTTTATTTATTTATTTACTTATTAACAGGGAGGCACCACCATACCTGGTAAATTTTTTAAAGCCATCACATGAAAGAAGAAAGTCAAGAGTCATCAGCACTTTAGAAAAAAAAAAGAAAGAAAAGGCAGAGACCAACGCAGAAAAAAACATAAGTCAAGAAAATTCCTGGTCTAGGGGTGTAGCTTAGCGGTAGAGCACTGGCCCAGCATGTGTGAGGCCCTGGGTTTGACCCCCAGCACTGCATGGACAGGCACACGAGAGAGAAAATTCTGCAGAAATACTTCAGCCTATGGAACAACTTAATGAAAGACATGCATCCAAATAAACCAATAACTGCAATAAATGTAAAAGGATTAAATTATCCTAGTAATAGACTAAAGATCACAAGATGGATTTAAAAAGAAAAGCCAGGTACAGTGATCCATGCCTGTAATCCCAGCTACTCAGGAGGCTGAGGCAGGAGGATTCCCAAATTTGAGGCCAGCCTGGGCAATTTATTGAGACCCTGACTCAAATTAAAAAAAAAAAAAAAAAAAAATTTTAACAGGGTTGTAGATGTAGTTCAGTGGTGAAGCGCTGGGTGTTGCTCCTCTGTACCACAAAACAAATAAATAAAGAGAATACAGTACTTGTGACTTACCATAGATACAATAAAAAACAAGTAAAAAAGAAAAAAATATGAAAGGCATCTATCAATCAAAAATGAATAAATAAATGCTAGCATAGCAATATTAACATCAAACTAGAATTTAGGGCAAAACCAAATAACACAAGATAAATCAAAGAAGAGACACTGCTTAATGAAGGAGGAAATCCACCAAAAAAGAATGTTTTTTACTTCTTGAACTGGGATCTGCAATCAGTTTCCTGAGCCAGGCACACCTGTAATGCACACCTGTGATCCCAGCAACTCAGAAGACTGAGGCAGGAGGGTCATAAAGTCTACTCCAGCCTGGGCAACTTAGCAAGATCCTGTCTCACAATTAAAAGAATTTTTTTTTTTCCCCTAAAAAAAAGGGCTGGGGATATAGCTCAGTAGTAAAATGTGCCTGTGTTCAACCTCCAGAATTAAAAAAAAAAAAAAAAAATTCCCGAAATACCATCTTTACTGCATGTAATAACTCTGAACCTTCCATTCTACTTCTCCGTGTGTACAGTACCATGAGCCACCATCTCCTGACTGACTGCTCAACCCACTAAATGTGTTTACACTTACTTGAAAACCTAAGCAAGAAGTTGCACTGATCACTGATAGCTAGTGTCCTAACTTTTCCTTTGGTACCAGGGATTGAACCCAGGGGCACTTAACCATTGAGCCACATCCCCAGCATCCCCCATGCCTTTTTTTTTTTTTTTTTTTTTAATTGTGAGACAGGGTCTTGCTAAGTTGCTTAGGGCCTCACTTAGTTGCCCAGGCTGGCTTTGAACTTGCAATCCTCCTGCCTCGGCCTCCTGAGCTGCTGGGATGATAGGCATGACCACCGCATAAGGCTAGTATCCTATCAAATGTATAAAGCACTCATGTTAATCTATAGATTTGAGACAATCCCAGCAAATTGTCTTGAGAATGCCAATAAAGTGATCATAGGCTTTATAGAGACAAAAGACAGAGGACAGAAGCTACTCAACTTTGAGACTTAATATAAAGCTCTAGTGATCAAAACAGTATGGTAAAAGAATAGATAAATACATGACCATAAATACATGGTCAAGTAGAACAGAGACTCCTGGAACAGACCCACATAATACAGTTGACTGATCTTTGACAAAGGAGCAAAAGAAATGCAATAAAAAAAAAAAAAAAGACTCCTTTTTTAGCAAAAGAGTGCTGGACAAGTGGACATCCACATACAAAAACCACAATGGCAGGCTGGGGTTGTGGCTCAGAGGTAGAGTGCTCGCCTACCATCCATGAGGAACTGGATTTGATCCTCAGCACCACATAGAAATAAAATACAGATATTGTGTCCACCTATAACGAAAAAAAATATATTAAAAAAAAAAAAAAACACACAATGGCGAGGACATAGGCACAAACCTGGCCTTCCACGAGATCACTCAGGATGGGCCATGGAGCCAAGTATGAGACGCCAAACTGGAAAGCTCCAAGAAGAGGGTTGGGGTTAGCTCAGTGGCAAAGCCTGCCTAGCAAATGCAAGGACATGGGTTTGATCCTCAGAATCACAAAAAAGGGATGGGACTTTATTTTTCCCTGTGAAAGATGAGGACATCTTTCATAAGAGAATGAGGACAAGCCACAGCCTGGAAGAAAATGCTTGCAAAAGACATAGCTGATAAAGTACTAATATACAAAACACATGAATTAAAACCAACCAACCAACCAACCTCCTAAAACTTAAAACTCAACGATAAAAGCAGGAGGATCATTTGATCAGGAGTCTGAGGTCAGCCTGGCGGTACAGGGAGACCCCATCTCAAGATTAAAAACAAAAACCTGCAACCCAGAACAAAACAAGTCAGCAATAAGAAAATGAAACTGGGGACTGGGGCTGGGGCTCAGTGATAGAGTACTCACCCAGCACGTGCGAGGCCCTGGGTTCGATCCTTAGCACCACATATAAACAAATAAATAAATATGTATTGTGTCCGACTATAACATATATATAAACGAAACTGGTGGGCAAAAGGCCTGCCTGAACAGGAGCCTCCCAGAGGTGTGCAGAGCAGCAAGCACACAGAGGCCTCCACAAAGGTCACTGGGGATGCAGAGCAGAGCAGCAGCAGGAGCACCCCCCCACACCTGACACACGGCCCCCACTCCTGGGAGTGCCACTGCATGGCATCTGCCTCTGGGAGGGTACACCATAGTGCGGTCACTCTGGAAGGCAGACTGCAAGCCAGCAGTCACATTCCTTGGCATTGACTCCAAGGAGCTGAAGACCACAGCCACACAAAAACCTGCACATGGTTGTTTACAGCAGCTTTATTCCCAGCAGCCAAAACCTGGCGACAGCCTAGGTGTCCTTTGAGAGGGCATGGACAAGTAGAATGTGGTCCACCCAGACAGTGGACCCTCACTCAGTGCCAGCCCCATGGGGACTCTGTCTTCTATGGCTCTGAAGCCCTGGTGAGACAGGCAGCTACTGCTCAGTCCTCCACTCCTGTGTCCTTGACCTTGAGTGGCCATTGCTGAAGTGACCCCCAGGGACGTCCCCTTGGTAGGAACAAGCCCAGAGCCAACTCTTCTGAGCTTATACATTCACATTCTGCAGCTGTGAACCCTGAGTATCAGAAGTAGATATCACAGGGCACTACTAAGGGTACAGCCCTCTCCAGAGAAGAGGGGAGTCCTGGCAGGGTCAGCATTTGAATGACAAAGAGAGGCCACAACATGGAGAATGGGCAGTGGGGAGTGTGAGCTAGAGGCTGGAGCAGGGAGAGGTCATCTTAGCCTGAAAGAGGCAGAGCAGGGTGCATCTCCAAGGGCACTGGCAGAGAGGGGGCCTGAAGCTGGGCAAGTGGTGCTGCCCTCCCCAGAGACGAGCAACAAGAAGGAGCAGATTCAGAGTAGAAAATAAAGCAGCACGTCTGTCTTGGACCCACTGAATCCAAGGTGCCTAGAGATGTTATGGGGAGGGAGGCCACCAAGGCCATAGCATGTTCATTAGCTTTTTTTGGTACTGGAGATTGAACCAAGGGATGCTTTACCACTGGGCTGCATCCCCAGCCCTTTTTATGTATACACCTTTTCTGTGGTGCTGGGAATGAACCCAAAGCCTCATGCACACCAGGCATGTGTTCTACCACTGAGTTCTGGTCCTGGCCCCAGCACCACCACCCCCCAGCAGCTGGGATCAGACATGTGCCACTGTGCCCAGCACTTTGCTGCTGCAGACATGTGCGTGCAGAGGAGCTCCAGGTCTGGAGAACAGGTCTTTGGATTGGGACCCTGAGGGACTGCGCACTTTCAAAGCACATGCTCTTCTGTCTCCCACAACACTGGCCTCTCCACACAGGGATTTTCTGGGTGGTGGTGGGGTGTGAACCTGTGGAGCCCTGGGACACAGGGCCAGGGAGGTGCGGGGGCACTGGAGAAAGGGCAAGGAGGAGATGACCAGCTTGAAGGGCCCCTGGTGGAAGCCCTGGGTGAGGCATGGCTTCTCCAGCAGGACCCTTGCTGTGTTCAGCACAGCCCTGCTGCTCAAAAGCTATCCTCTGAGGCAGCAGCAGACACTGGCACAGAGACTGTCCTGGTCCATGTCAGACCTGCAGAAAACCCACCCCACTCCACAGGAAGGGTGACACCAAATGGCGCCTGGTGTTGTTATGAAAATGCTTGACTCAAGAACCCCTGACCACATGTGGAAAGGACTTAGCAGGTGTCTGTGAGGAGCCCAAGATAGGATGGCCCTGTCCACCATGGGGGTGGGGGCATTTTCATAAACTCATTCCCTCCACAGCCTGCCATTCCCAGAGCCAGACACAGAATTAATGAAAAAGGTTTTTATTTTATGTCAAAGTACCAAGCAGATACTTGCAAAACATAGAAAGTGAAACTCAAGCAATGCCCTTCCCCAGGTGCCTCTGGGCATGCACTGAGCTCACGCCCTCTGCAAACACCAAATCCAGTCCCATTTCCTCAGAAAACTAAACTGAAGGCAGCCACTGGATAGACCCTGGCCAGCCTTGAGGAGCAGTGGGAGGCCCAAACACCCCCCCCACCCCCGAGCAACCAGCAGGCCCTGCAGGAGCCAGGGGGGTGAGCAAGCCCTCCACCCACAGTGAGGTGGGTTCCTGTGGGAGGGGCTGGTGGCAGATGGCTGAGGGCAGTCTGGGGCACCATGAGAAAGGGAAGGGAATTAATTCTAAGTTGGTCTGGGGCTTATGTATATGGCTCTGAAGGTAACTGAACCTTCCAGTGCCTCCGTGGACGGAGAGGCAGGGGCTGAAACAGTCCCATCTGAATCTTACAGAGGGAAAATGCTCTATAGCCGGAAAGGCAGGCAGAGAGCATGGCAGATGCCGGCCAAGGGAAGCCCCATAGGTCCCCACCAGTGACACCATGTCTTACATTGCCTGAGCTGCTGGGCCATGCCCACACCTGCATCCTCCTGAGGCCCACAAGGTCATGCTGCCCCATGTCACAGAACTTGAAACTCAAATAAAAATGAGTTTAAAAAAAGGAGTATGTACACAAATAGATAAACATCACGCCCAAACCAGCTGATTCCTAACAGCAAACAAGGATGTAACAGAAAGAAAATAAGAAACAGAACAGTAGCTTGACGTGGGGCCCTGGTCAAAACAAAGGTGTAAAGGTTGGGTCTGGGCACTTAGTGGGATGGATGGACAGAGAGAGGGACAGCTAGTTCCTTTCAAGGCAGCAAAGAGGGACTGCAGCCTTCTCCTGCTGTGGGGTTCTTGGCCAACAACCACCAGAAGGGTCTGTGGATAACTGGCCCCAGGGATTATCCCACTTCCTGAAATGTCTAGCTCCAGAGGCTCTGGCCTGGAGGACAGCCCCCTGCCTGGTCTTCCTCGAGATCCCAAACCCTGATCTGCAAACTGTCAACAGACAGCCCTTCCTGGAATATCTTGGGCCCCACGTCCCCCAACTGGCCTGCTGTATGCTCTGGGGGTCCCATCAGCTGACTGCACACAGGGGCCATCTCAGCACCCCCAAGTCTGAAGGAACACCCCTATACAAACCCCACAAAGAGCCTCATCTTGGGGAGGGGCACTGCCCAGGAACTCCAGCACCTGGCCAGGTGCATACACAAGTGCTCCAGGCCCATACCAGAGCTGCCTTGGGAAGCCTAGGCACTCAGCATTGTTTTGGTTGAAAATGCTACAAATTTGATTCTTCCTGGAAGCCTACTAAGCAATTCACTTAAAAACACCTGTAGCACGTGATCAATGGCTCCTGACCCTGCCTGGTATGCCTGGGTGCCCCATCTAAGCACCTGGGGTGGGGGCAGGTGCTGCCCGGGGCCTGCATCTTGGCCCCCAGGGTGCACATTCCCACACAGGCAGAGGAGTGGGGCGTGGCCACACTAACCCTACAGAAAACTGTGGGAAGAAACCAAATCCATAGGATCCATGGGTTTCCACACTTGGGTACAGTTCCCAAGACATGTGTTAGTAACGTCCCCGAGACGGCGCGTGGGCACCAGGACCTCAGTGACTTGGCGGGCTCTGGCACTACCAGCACCTTCAGGGTCTCAGGCACCTGCCGTCCTGGCTCTGCTGCCTGCACCTGGCTGCACCCAGATGCACTCCTCCTGGCCACTGTTCCCCTGGCTCCTGCTCAAGGCCCAATGTGTAAACAGTATCAACAAGCAACAGGTGGAAAGTCTATTTCCCAAGAGAAAAGGGGAGGAAGTTTGGACTTGAAGACCCATCTTCCAGGTTGCTGGCATCTGTCTTCTCATTTGCCTAGTGATGCCTCTCTTTGGTTCAGCCCACTAGACCTGCCTGTGCTGAGCCAGCCCCATGGCCTCTGCCTGCAGCGGCCTGAGGAGAGGCAGCCAGCTCCACCCGCCCTGAGGGGCCTCACCCTCCCAGGACATACCCTGCAAGAGGCCTAGGCTCCTGGCTACTTCTGCTCATGGTCCTCTGCCACAGCAGCCACCTCAATGGTGGTTGTGTGTTCCTCAGGCCCTGGGGCCGTGGCAGTGGGCACTGTCACTATTGTGCTGCCTGCAGGTGACGCCTGAGCCACATTCTGCAGGGTGGGGCCCAGGCTGGGAAGCGTGAGCAGTTGTAGCGGACTGACCACCTTCAGCACAGTGCTGCCGTCCTGCATGGCTGCTGTACTTAGGACTGTGAGGCTGGATGCGTCCGGGTGGATCTCCACTGTGCTGGGGAAGCTGGAGCCTGAGGAGGCCAGGACTGTGTAGCCACCGAGCAGCGGCGAGGCTGGCGAGCTGGCTGGTGGAGCCTGAGGAGAGCCCTTGCCCAGGACAGCCGAGGGCAGCGTGGATACCACTTTACCAAGTGGCACACTGGCCAGCTGGGGCACAGGCACGCCTGGGCCGAGGGCAATCTGCGCGGACTGGGTGAGCACTTGCGAGGCCACAGCAGCTGGTCCAGACGTGGCGCGTGCAAGCCGAGGCCGCTTGGCAGGGGGTGGCAGGGGCACAGGTGTGAGTGTCATGAGCACATTGCTGAGGTGCTGGGATTTGTGCTTCAGTTCCCGGGCACGGCGCCGATGCTCGTCACACTGCTGCTCCAGGGCTGCAGGGACACAGATGTCACCACAAGGTAGCCCAGGAGCCACCAGCACCAGACACCCAGGGCCCCCTGCCTAAGGTGAGGCCAGCAGAGGGGACAACCAGGGCCACTGCTCCCAGGTGAAAGCCGTGTGCCAGGCAGTCTCTGCAGGCAAAGCTGCCCTTGGGGCCAAGTAAGCCTATTCACACTCATGTGCAGTGCACACACAAAGGACCACAAGAGCAGGAGCTGGGAGCAGATGCAAAGGACACAAGGCGCATCTGCTGGTGGCAGGGTGGCCCTTCCTTTTCTCTCCACTTATCTTAAATAGCCACTTGGCCTTGCAGGGAGGTCGGTAGGCGCTGTGACCTCTGCCTCCAGCCTGGAGGTCTAAGGACCATGGCTGTTGAGTTTTACTGACTCCTGTATGATGCCTATGTCCTCACTTGCCAGGCCCCAGAGGAAAAGCTCACATGCACAGCTATGACAGAGAGAAGCCCAGAGGTAGCCGTGGAGACCCCGATCCCCCCATCTGTTGCTGGTGTACCTGCCAGGTCCCGGGCATACTGCTCCCGAGAGCGGTCCATTTGACACTTGTGGCTGGCCAGCACCTTCTTTACTAGGTCCAGCATGCCAAAGTTCTGTACAATGTTGTTGAGGAGGACAGCATCTGAAAGGAGCAATGCAGGCACTTGGTGAACACCCAGGCCCCATCCAGCCCATTCAGAGGCCAGCTCCTCAGGGCTGCATTGGCAGGAGCCAGCTCCACAGATGTCTAGAACACAGGCTGCACACACCCCGCCCCAGTCCCCTCAGCACAGCAGGCCTCTGTCCCAGCTACACAGCAGGGCCTGGGGGAGCCAGCAAGGGGGCAGCTCAATCTCCCTTACCTCGGAGCTGCAGGGGAGGGTCCTGCACCCTCTGCTGCAGGCCTTTCATAGTTTCCTCCAGTTCCTGCTGGAATTCTTGAATGACCTCGTCCAGCAGGCCAGCATCCTTTAGCCCCCGCCAGAAGGCAAATGTGTCATCTGTTGGGGAAGAAGAGGTCGAGTGAGCAGGAAGAGGTTGGGTGAGTAGTAAGAGCACTGCTGCCCTGGACAGCCATAAGGACACTGCCCAGGGAGGTCAGGGCGTGTTACAGCCCATGTCTAACGGGCCAGTGGCTGAGCTCTGTCTTAACCACCACCACCACCACCCCCCGCCCCCGCTGGGACAATGATGGCCAGAGTACGGATGACAGCTTCCCCACTATGTGCACTTGTGAAAGCCTACAGGGACATACCTCCAATGGCTGTGGTCCAGTCGCTGGGGTCCTCACATGTCTCTATGGTGATGGTGGCAGGAGAGCCATTCACTACGAGCAGAGTGGAGCCGTGGTGAGTGTGACATGGGGCAGCTCCCACACCTGGAGGTCCTGCCTCCCTCCCGAGGCTGTGCCTGACTAGAGCAACCAAAGGACTCCCTGCCTTATGTCCGGGTTACTTGAATGACTTCTTTGAACACATACACACAGGACAAAGAACAGGAAACAGCCCTCCACCCATCACTGTGTGATTCAATGCAGGGGCTGGTGGAGATTCCTGCCCATGTGGCCCCACAGATGGGTGTGGAACCAGTCACCCTAGCTTTCTTTTTACCACTGTCTATCTTTCATTATGCCACCATGATCTTAACATGAATCAATCATATTTCTACTTTTCTAAATCAAGAAAGACAAGTCATCTATTCTGGCTTGTCCCAAGTACATTTCCAGTAGCTACAAACCCTAACTGTCTGTAGTTTGTATTTGCGTCCTGGAGTTTCCAACAGGCTTCATGCCCAGGCCTGGCTAAGAAGCAGACCCGGAAACAGACGGATGTTTTGGTAACTTTCCAGCCTATGCCAGCTCTGCCCTCATCAAAGATGTGTTGGAATCAAGTGAGGCATGAGCCAACACTTGTCATGGCTTGGGCAGGTGTACCACCTTTCTCTGACTACCCAGAGATAAGCGAAAGGTTCTCAGAGATTCAGGCTAAAGCAGCCCAGATATACCTTGTCCCTGACTGTGCCTTTCTTGGGTGGAACAGACCTAAGTAAAGGGGTGCCCACCTATCCTGGCTGATCACCCACAGCCCACTTTAATAAGGCAGGGCAGAGAGTCTGAGCCAAGCCCTGGGTATGCTGCCTAGGATGCTGACTGCATGCCTCCTCATGCTTGCCAGACTTCAAACATCTGGCCTGGAGCTGTGGTCCAGGAAAGGGCTAAGCAGAAGGTACCCTCAGAATGTTGCAAACTGTAGCCACTAACCAAGGAAAGGCTGACAATAGCCAGCTCCCGACCACCACAGGCAGCGTCCCTATGCTGCTCAGGACTCAGCCCACCTACCAGGCAGAACACAGAGAAGGATGTGGGGAACAACAAGGCCTCAGGCCACCATGGGCCCCATTCTCCTCCAACCAGGGACCACTGAAGCCCCTACCATCAGCCCATCTGGAATGAATGACAGGACCACCCCATCACACAGGAGCTTACTCCACCCAATGCCATGGAGTGACAACTTAGGCATAGCAAGAGACAGTGCTAGAAAGAAAGCACTGCCAGACATTGCTAGGTAACACGATGGGGACTCAGGACCCAACCTTGATACGGCCTTGGTTTAAGAAGACTTTCTCAAATCAGGCACGGAGGCTATGCCTGTCATCCCAGCAACTTGGGAGGCTGAGATAGGAGAATCACAAGTTTTAGGCCAGCCTCAGCAACTTAACAAGACACTGTCTAAAAATAAAAAGGACAGCTCAGTGATATGCCCTGTATTCAATCTCCAGAACAAAAAAAAAAAAAAAAGGGAATGAAGAAAAAAAAAAAATCTCAGAATAAAATAAAAAGGGCTTGGGGTGGGGATGTAGCTGAGAGGCCTGGTTCAATCCCCAAGCACCCCGCACCACCATCAAAGAAAGAAAAAAGAACACTTCTCCTTCAAGAAGCTGGAAAAAGGGGCCAGGGTTACAGCTCATTGGCAGAGCGCTTGCCTCACATTTGTGAGGTACTGGGTTTCATCCTGAGCACCACATAAAATATAAATAAATAAAATAAATAAAGATATTGTGTCCATCTTAAAAAAAAGAAGAAGAAGAAGAAGAAGTTGGAAGAAAGGGCTGGGGTTGTGGCTCAGCAGTAGAGCACTCCCCTAGCATGTGCGAGGCGCTGGGTTCAGTCCTCAGCAACACATAAAAATAAATAAATAAATAAAATAAAGGTACTGTGCCCAACTACAACTAAAAATATTTTTCAAAAAAAGAAGCTGAAAGGAATCCCAGGAACACCTTATCCCTATGGAAGAACAATCCAGATCATCACCAGCATCCAAGCTGCCAGAAGAGAGAGCTACAAGCTGCTCTAAAAGCCACAAGCACTGAGGGGCACTGTTCCAAATGTGGGAAGGGCTGGGAGAGGGAGGAGGCCGGGACACAGGCAGTCCCTTCAGGATTCCACACACTCCTGTCAAGACAAAGGTGACCATCTCCGGTTCCATAAACCTAGCAATCACCAGACTTCCTTTGTGAGAGAGGGAGGGGCAGGAGGCACCAAGGCAGCCAGAGGAGGTCAGTCTGTGAGACCTTCCTCCTATTCCTCTACCTACCATCCGCTGCAGCAGGTGTGAGTGGGAGGTACTCTGTGGCCGTGGGGCTGCTCAGGGACACACGGGCCCCCGAGAGGTCTATCTTTGTGCTGCGGCAGGTGTTGGAGCAGACCTTGTCATGCTGGTAGAAGTCCAGCTCCCCTGAGTCCATGATCTTCCTGTGAAGAGGACCAAGAACCCAGGTGAGACCCAGCCCAATACAATTCATTCCCCACTCTGACTTGGGCCGTCCAGCTAAACTGCCAGGGTCTCTTGAGGTGGGAGGGGAACCGCACTCTCCCGGGCACATAAAGTTATGAAGTTCCAATGAGAACGTGCTGCAGATGCAGGGCTCTGCCCCCCATTCAGGGCCCTGTCCATAGGAAGGAGACATATGCACTGGCCGGCAGACATCTGGAGGTGCCCAGTCCATGCTGTAACTGAAGACCCAGGGGAGATGGCTTAGTCCACTGCATCACCTGTGGCCAGTTCTGAGTCAGAGACATGGGAGCCACTCTCTCAGGAGAGGCCTGGGCGTTCAAAAGGCAGACAGGAAAGGAGGCCAGCAACTGCAGGAGAGTGCTCATGACCACTGCACATCCTGAGGACCTGCCTTCCCAGGTCCCAGACCTGGTCTGGCATTTCTCAGCAAGCCTGCCACGACTGTAAACAAGGTCAGGGGCTCCCACCATGCTGAGCCTTTGGGCAGACCTGGCTTTAGACACATGTACAGCTCACAACACGCCTCCCTAGCCCACCCACCATGTTCGAGAAAACCAGAGGCTCCTGGGTGGGACTGGCTGAGAGGTGTGGGGAATGTTCTGGGGCTGGTGGCAGGCCCTGAAGCCAAACTCTCACTCTGCACAGAGAAGGGCATCTTCCCAGGAGGCAAGGTGGATACTGGCTGGGGGCCCCCTCTCTGCAACACCCACACCTCCAGGTACACAGACCAGTTATGGCTCACAGGTCACAAAGAACGCAAGCCAGCAAGGTTTACCAGCTATCTGTGTAGTCCGAATGAGACTGCGGCAAAAGTAAGACAAAAAGGGAGGGGAGAGGGGCTGGGATTGTGGTTTAGTGGTAGAGCACTTGCCTAGCATCATGAGGCACTGGATTCGATCCCTGGCACCACATTAAAGAAAATAAACAAAATAAAGGTATTGTGTCCATCTACAAGTAAATATACATATATACATATACATATACACATATATATGTATATATATACACACATATACACACACACACACAAACATATATATATATATATATATATATATATATGGGAGGGGAGAAGGAAGGGAGGAGGGCAGGGAAAGGAAGTTGCTGGGAACAAGCCTGACCAATTGTGTTATGTGCACACATAAACATGGCATCAGGAATCCCACCACTGTGTATGATTTTAATGCCCCTAGAAATTTTTTTTAAAATGAGGACAAAAAGAAATAAGGCTGATATAGAAGACCATGCTGAGCTTGATCTGGGTGCCTACCTGAGGCAGAAACCAGGATAGCCCTTAACTTTTTAACAGTGACAGTCACCAGAGGCCCCAAGTGAAGAATGGGTGAAAAATAAAATGAGATCTGGCAAAAAACAAACGAAAACAATGCTAAAAGTCTGACAATGTCCCTGCTGAGTGGACCCATACTCTGTAAGGCGTGAGCAGAGCGGAAAGAGCTATATGCACCCACCACATCTAACACACAGCTTTTCAAAAATCCAGAACCAAAGGGGAAAAGCAAGGGCTGTGAGCCACCCCCATGTGCACCTACAGGTACCCACCTGAGCATGATACCATTCATCCGGATGGCTCTTTTCCAGTCCTTCAGAGTGGACTTCCCCGCCAGGTGCACAAACTCCTTGGGGCTAATCACATGCTCGTCATACTGCAGAAAGCAAAGAGGTCAGGGTCAACTCAGCCTGGACTCTGGTCTGAGAGAGATACAGCCTGTCCTCCCCTGCTCTGCTCTGCTGCTGGAGCCTGCACCAGGGTTCATGGTAGGGAGGAGAGCCTCTTTGAGGCTCTGAAGCCCCAGCCTTGCCACAGAGTGCTCCAGTGGAGTAGGCCCAGTCCTGTACGCACACTTGGCATGCTGCTGCCCACAAGTGCAATGTGTCTGGGAATGGGGAGGGCTGAGCTGACCAAATGCAAAAAAGCCTGTGGCGCACTCTTCCTCCAGACAGTCTGAGCAAACCTTAAAAATAATATACACACCTTACATCATAAAAATGTAACGTTAATAAAAAATCACAAGCACTATGAATGACCCCTGCTGCCAGGCCAGGCCACAGAGCAAGAAACAGCACCCCATCCTGCATGAGGCTCACACATGACCATTTCAAAGTCAGGGGACCGTCCTCCCTGCTGAGAAGGTAAAATATCCTATTCAATCCTAGTAAGTAAGCAATTATTAGAACCAAAGGATGAAAATAGAATGTTTCCTGGGGCTGGGGTTGTGGCTCAACAGTAGAGCGCTCACCTAGCACGTGTAAGGCCCTGGGTTCGATCCTCAGCACCACATACATACAAACAAAGATGTTGTGTCCGCCAAAAACTAAAAAATAAATATTAAAAAAAAAAAAAAATTCTCTCTCTTTAAAAAAAAAAAAATGTTGTTTCCTCTTTCTAGCTCTATGGCAGGAAGATGGTGGCCGCAAAAAAGATGCAAAAGTCTCTGGAGTCGATGAACTCTCGGCTCCAGCTTGTTATGAAAAGTGGAAAGTATGTACTGAGGTACAAGCAAACTCTGAAGATGATCAGACAGGGCAAAGCGAAATTGGTCATCCTCGCCAACAACTGTCCAGCTTTGAGGAAATTTGAAATAGAATACTTTGCCATGTTGGCCAAAACTGGTGTCCATCACTACAGTGGCCCAATATTGAACTGGGCACAGCATGTGGAAAATACTACAGTGTGTGCACACTATCACTGATCCAGTGATTCTGATATCATTAGAAGCATGCCAGAACAGACTGGTGAAAAGTGAAACATGTAAAATTTTTCTTTAATAAAACTTGGCAGAGAGTGTTTTAAAAAAAAAAGTTGTTTCCTTAGAAAACAAGCAAACTGGGGATGGAGGAGTTGCTGGGTCCTGGGGCTGCCTTATCCTGGCACCTGCCACCCAAGCAGAGTGCCTGGGCAGGCAGTGCTGGTGGGGATGGTGCTCCACACCCCATGAGTTCTGCACTCCTCTCTCGATACCTGAGGCTGCAGTTGAGAAGGCCACCTCCATGCAGCCCATCAGGATGGAAAGACCCCTCAGCCACATTATGCTGCCTTAAATCCTCAGAGGCAGGCATGGCCTCTGCCAGCCTGGATCTGCCACCAGCCTTCTCCTGCCTGAGGCTGTGCTGGACAGTGCCCACTTGGCCTGATTTTGCTCCAGGCTTTGGTCCACCAGCCTCATGGGCTCTAGAGGTCCCTTTCCCTTCTTGCCCTCCTTTGGGATGACTGCTCTCTCTGGTTCCAGGTTCTTCTCTGCAGCTCTGTCCTCTCCTGTGGCCCTGTATGCTATGCCTAGGCCATCAGAGCTCAGGGCTTCCTGAGCACTGCTGTGTGGCCAGTGCTTATCTTTAGACCCTCCCAGGATACCAGGACATGTCTCTCACATGAAGGTCCCTTGAACAGTGGACACTTCCATCTGGGATCTCTTTCCTCTGCCTGAAACACATTCAGAACATCCTTCAGTGAGGATCTGTTGGTAGCAACTCAGTTATGCCTGAAAATGAATTTCCAGAGATGACTTCGCCATAGGCACCTGTTCTCCCTTGACACAGGGAGCACCCAGCCTACCACCTCTGGCTTCTGCCCCACTGCTTTTGGACTCTTCCTTCAGGGCAAAGGTCTGCTGCCAGCCATCTTGAGGGTCTTCTCCATCCCTGTGCTTCTCTCACTTCACCATGACTGTGATGTTATGTTACAGCCTATTTATTTTTTCTGTTTATTAACTGTAAGGACAATCCAAGAAGCTCTGCTGTCCTTGCAGCAGGCTTTCTGCAACTGACTGGCCCTCCATGCTCCCCTCATCCAGGCGTGTGCATGGACGTACACCCTCTTCTAGGCCTTTGATGCTGGACCCCAGACCATTTGCATGTGTTCCCTATAAATAAGGTACTTCAGCATAGCCAGAGGGCAGCTCTCAGGGGTACCACCACCTAGTCTGCAATCCATGTTCAGACCAGTGACTGCGCTTCCCTGATGGTCACTTGACCCAGGACTGATGCATATGGCCACAGCATCTCTGCAGGCTCCTCATGATGGAGCAGCTCCCCAGCCTTTCTTGGTCTTTCTGAGCCTTCTCATTGCCAAGCATATAGGTCAGGTGCCTCGATTTGTGTCTGGATCTTCTCGGGGGCAGTCAAAAACTCCTGCCCATACATCCCGATGCGGGTGAGGCAGACATCCCTCACCTGGACGTGGCGGTGTCTGGCAGGCTTTCCCACTGCAGCTACTGCCCTCCATTTTTGCAAGTGGTCCATGAGGATGGACTGAGCGTTGGCATTCCCAGTTGTCACTCCTTCATGTCTGGCATTCTAACATGAGCACTCCACTCCACCCTGTGCACTTACTGTGTGCGAGAAAATGACATGGAGTACATTGCAGTAAATAGAGACTCACAGATTTCTGTCCTACTTGAGCTGTTTGCTTTTGGTTTTCTTTTGTAGCACTGGGGATTGAACTCAGGAGTGCTCTACCACTGAGCTGCAACTCGAGCACTTTTTCCTTTTGAGACAGGGTCTTGCTAAGTTGTCCAGGTTGGCCTTGAACTTGCATTCCTCCTGCTCAGCTTCCCAAGTTGCTGGGTTACAGGTGTGGTCATCATGCCCAGCTCCTACTTCAGTGAAAGCCCATGGCCCCATTTTTAAATTTTTTTGCTGAGTTAGGGATTAAACCCAGTATATGAGGCAAGTGTTCTGCCACTAACCTGCACTCCAGCTCACTGTTATTTACCTGTAGGTTAAATTGTCCTGGGTGGAGGCAGTGAAATTTTTTTTTTAATCCACTGTGGACTTTGTGAGGTCCCTTGAACTGTAGACTGACACCCTCCCACGGCCATGAGGCACTCACACCCTCTTTGCAAACAGACATGGTGGATTTTCTCCTGCTTCTATTTTCCACCTTCTTTCTTCTGTGGAGAATACTCTGGCTGAATTCTTTGGTTGTGTCTTCCAGTTCACCAGTCATCTCTTTAGTTATGTCTAATCTGCTCTGATGCCAATCAACCAAGTATTTAATTCTAATTCTATTCTTCATTTCTAGTTGTGCTTTCATCAAATTTGTTTATTCTTTACTGTATTCAAGCTTCTCTTTATTTCTTGAAATAAATTAAACATAATTATTTTATGTTCTGTGTCTTAAAATTCCGACACTTAGGGCCAGAGGTTAGCTCAGTCTAACATATCTCATATGAGGCCCTAGATTCGATACCCAATATTACAGAACAAGCTGAAACCTCTGTGGGTCCCAACCCCTGCTGGAGCCTCTCTGAAGGCACTTGCTCGGGGTGACCACTTCTTGTGTCCAGTGTTTTGGTTTGTTACACTGTGAGCTGCTCCTTTTCTTAGCATGTTGTGGAAATTACTTAAAGCCTGATATAAGGATGCTTTCCTGCAAACAGGGCTTTTCATCTGCCTCTATCAAATCCTGAGGACTGTCAGCCAGAAGCCACTGGGCCACACAGACCATGTGTGAATGGCAGCAGGCCACCCTTTGCCTCTGGTGCCCAGCCTGGAGACAGTGCCTCCTTGCTGTGGGCAAGGTGAGGCTGGAAGGACATACTCAGCAGAACTCTCTGGCAGATGGCTCTAGAGGGATCAAGCCCCCACATCCCTTGGGAGTGGAGGACAGTCTGGTCTTCTCACCCAGCCTGCAAGATTGAGAAACCCACCCCACGCAAGGCTCTCCAACAAAAGCTGGACTCTGCCCTAACTCAGGCCTGGGTCCTGACAACTTCTCCCTTTCAGTCACGTGTAAAGACACATCTGGAAGATGCTTTTTAAAAATATCTTTGGGGGCTGGGTGCTATGGCACATACCTATAATCCCAGCTGCTTGGGAAGCTGAGACAGGAGGATCGCAAGTTCAAAGCCAGCCTCAGTAATGGTGAAGCACTAAGCAACTCAAGGAGACCCTGTCTCTAAATAAAGCACAAAATAGGTCTGGGGATGTGGCTCAGTGTTCAAGTGCCCCTGAGTTCAATATACATACATATACAATATATATCTTTGACTTTGTTTTCTTTTTGTTTGTTTTTTGTACCAGGGATTGAACGCAAGGGCACTTAACCACTGAGCCACATCCCCAGATTTTTTAATATTTTATTTACAGACAGGGTCTTGCTGAGTTGCTAAGGCTGGCTTTGAATTCACGATCCTCCTGTATCAGCCTCCTGGGCTGCTGGGATCATAGGTATGTATCACTATGCCCAGATGACTTTTTTTTTTTTTTTTTAAGAATGTCTATGTTACCTAGACTGGACTTGAACTCCTATGCTCAAGCAATCCTCCTGCATCAGCCTCCCAAGGAGCTGATACTACAGCTGTGTGTCACCACACCTGGCTCTGCTTCGTGAAAATCTTAATGAACATTTTAACTGTTTTCAACATAAGGTGCATCTGGGAAAGGGACAAGCAGAATGCCAGAGGAGAATGCCTTTCTCATCATCTTCCCCTGCCAGTGAATGAGTCTCTTTAAAGCACACACCTCAGTCTGCCAAACAAAGCCATTCTCAACTGGTCTCCACCACAGGACCATACACTGCACACAGTGCTGCCTTCCACCTGCATCCCTCCAGAAATGAGAACTACTCCTGCTGGAGGCATTCCCCATTGTGCCCACAGCTGCAATCCTGTCCTTGAGGCTGGCTCCTAGCTTCTTCCTCCTCCTCCCAGGCACAGGATCCCGGAATAGGGGTCCAGCAAATGTCTGTGGTGGCTCTCACCTGAACACATTTCACATTGATGCCAGGGCAAACGAACTTCCTCCAAATCAGGTTGGCTCTGCTGTCTCCGCAGGTAATGGGATACACAATCTCAGCCTCCAAGCTTTCCCCCTCTTCAGCCATCTTCACTTCTCACAGGCACATGGACAGGGAAGGGCAGAAACACAAAATCAGTTGTGACCTCTCCAAAGTACTTCTTACAATGCAGAAAGCACTGGTTGTCAACCTGGAAACCCACACTAAATCCAGGAAGACCCAAGTGAGCCAAAAAGGCAGGGTCCTCATCAGCCCATCAGCACTCCAGAAGGATCTACAGAGCACATCAGACTACAGCAGTGTTCAGGAACCCCAGTAACTGTGGCTGGACTCAAGAGTCACCTACGGGGATGAATCAAGCTTTAGTTGGAACCTTGTTAGGGAAACCAGACCTTAGAAACTGAGGGCTTTTTATCTGGTAACACCAAGTCCCACGGGTGCTAAAAGACCATCTACTGCCACTCACTGCCAGGATCAGCAACAGGCACAGAGAATCCCCAAAGGAGAGTGCTGCAAGACACAGGTGACCCCTCCTGCCCTCCCACCAGCCACAAGCAGGGAAAGGGTTCATCACATATGCCTGGCCATACCCAGGAGGACCTAGGGCCCCACCCAGCCCACAAAGGGCTTCACAAGCCCTGGGTACTACCCATTTCAGTTGCCGGCTGTTCCATCCTGCATCTGCAAAGGAGGCAGAAGGCCAGCTCCCCACTGTCGTGGCTGCCCACCTTACGTGGCTCCCTACCTAACACGGCCTCCTTGAGCTGCGAGGAGGCTGTGAAGGCTGCGGCGGCAGCAGCAGCTGCGTTTTCTGTGTCCACATTGTCTTCTGCCAGGTCACCCCTGGTGAGCAGTGGGGGGGTGGGAGAGAGAAAAAAGAGACCGTCAGGGGCTGGGGCTGGGGCTCAGTGGAAGCGCACTTGCCCGGCATGTGAGGCACTGGGTTCGACTCTCAGTACTGCATAAAAAATAAATAAAATAGGGCTGGGGTTATGGCTCAGCGGTAGAGCACTTGCCTAGCAAATGCAAGGCGCTGCGTTCGATCTTCAGCACCACATTAAAATAAAGGAATTGTGTCCAACTACAACTAAAAAATATTTTAAAAAATAAATAAAATAAAGGTCTGTCAACAACTAAAAAAATATTTAAAAAAGGAAAGGGACCATGTGAGCACCAAGCATGACCTACAGTCCCAGCATACCTGGAGCACATGTGCTCAGGACACTTGTGCCAACAGCTCGGCCTCCTCCAGAGATGCATTGCTGCCAGGTCTGGGCCAGTGTGCTAAGAGGTGTTGCCTGCTGCCCCCACAAGGACACACACCTAGTGTTCTGCTCTCCTTACGCTAATGCCCAGAACAGCACTGGAAAGCAAGGCCAGCCTAATGGATTTATGGAAGTATAAATGCTCAAAGCAGGAATTCTAAACCTCCATTTCTTTCTTTACTAAAGTTTTTATTTCCATCATAATGATCCCATGCAGTTATACAAATTATCAGAAAATATAATTTCTTTTCTTTTCTCTCTCTCTTTTTTTGTTATCTGCAGTGCTGGGAATTGAACCAGGGCCTCTACCAACAAGCCACTCTCACCTGAACTCCAAAGAGGCTACAGCCCACAAAATATAAAATTTTTGGAAGAGAAAAAAAAAATTACCACAGTCAACTTTCATCTTATACCCAAAATAAATTATGGACAAATCAAAAGTAAAGGTAAACTGGTTGCACTGGCACATGACTATAATCCCAGCAGCTCTGGAGAATGAGGCAGGAGAATCACAAGTTCAAAGCCAACTCCAGCAACTTAGCAAGGCCATATACAACTTAGGGAAATTCTGTCTCAAAATAAAAAACAAAAAGGGATGGGGATGTGGCTTAGCAGTTGAGCATCCCTGGGTTCAATCCCTGGTATGAAAAAAATAAAAGAGAGAACTTAAAAGAAATGTCCACAATATAGGTAAGATAAATGGCTGGTTCCCTACCACACAGAGGAGCCACAGTCAGCCCTACAGCCTGGCAGAGGTTGGAGGCCTCAACCAGAGCCTTGGAGAATCTGCAAAAAGACCTCTCGTTACTCCTAAGAAGTGCAAATAAGGAACAAGAGATGCTTCCTTCACCCAGACAGTCCTGGCATGGAAGCATGGCCAATTGGTACATGGGGAAGGTTGAGAGGAGGCAGACCAGCACCACTGATGCAAGGATGTGGCACAGCAATGGCCCAGCACTGCAAAGGAAAACCTGTGAGGGGTTATGCCTACAGCTAGAAAGCACATGCCCTGGACCCAACATCCCACCTCAGGAATCAGTTCACACACTCACAACAATGGGACTCAAACAGTCCTTGCAGAAGGGTCTGGGGCAGGAAGTCCTCTGGTTTCTGAAGCCTTGGGGAGGCAATGTGGATAGGCTAGATGAAGCCTGAGTGGGCTCAGGGGTTTTATTTTCACCACAAACCAGGTCAGAAATGTGAGTTGATTAAAATACAAATTTGAAACTTGCTTTCAGGGCAGTTAAGAATGACTCCAGGGGCTGTGGTTGTGGCTCAGGGGTAGAGCGCTTGCTTAGCATGTGTGAGGCTCTGGGTTCGATTCTCAGCACCGCACATAAATAAGTGAATAAAATAAAGGTCCGTCAACATCTTTTTTTTTTTTTAAAAAAAAAAAGAATGACTCCAGCTGGAGATGTAGTCCAGTGGTGGAGCACGTGCCCAGCTAGCATGTCCAAGGCCCTGGTTCCACCCCAGCACGACATACTCACACAAGAGTGACTCCAATATGAAGAATAATATTTACTGGAAACACCGGAACTCCAAAAAGGCTGCAGGAACTCAGAAAAGGAAGCAGTGTTCCTGAGCCAGGGGTAGGACATGGCCAAATAGGAACATGTGCCCTGCATGGCAGATGGCGGAACACATTCCTCAGAGGCAGTCGGAGAGGGAAGAAAGGCAGGAAGCTTCTATCAGGCTACTGGGGGTCACTAGGAAACATACCCTTGGCCTCAAGCAAATAAAGAGTAAGCATTAGATGGAGATGGCAGAGGAAACCAGGTTTGGTGCCAACAGAGGCAGAGGTACACCTACAGACAGGATGAGGCCTTCCACAGGACAGCCCTCAGGACTCCTCCATGGCCCCTGGGTAAGATGCTAATTAACAGGCATTCTGGTTCACTCTTCACTTGAAAAATGTCCATTACAGTACACATGCCCACTCTGGGCTTACCATGCAGAGCCGCTCCATTCTCTGCAGCAAGGGTGCTTATAGCAGGTTGATGGACAGGCCTGCCAGGCTCTAGAGGTGGAGCACTCCTAAGTTCTCCCTGAACACCCGCCAGGAAAGAGAGCAGTGTCCACAATGCAGCCAACTAGCTCTGCTCCATCTTCTTACACACACACACACACACACACACACACAGGGGCAAATCCACATACACCTGTCTTCTCCAGGACTCAGGAGGCTGACACAGGAGGGTACATGTTCCAGACTAGCCTGGGCAACTCAGTAAAACCTTGTCTCAAGATAAAACATAACAAGGGCAGGGGGTAGTTCAGTGGTAGAGCACCCCTGCATTCAATCCCCAGTTGCAAAAGCAAAAAAAAGCAAATCTAATAGAAAATAGGTAAGTCCCACTAAAAAAGAAGAGCTTCATGTAGGTCAACCTGCCTCAGAGGCCATGTGGTGCCTCCCCAGGAGATGCACGCAGAGGACCCCTCCTAACCTATAGAAAAGATCAAGGCAGAACAGAGCAATCTGGCACCAGAGGACCACAGCCGGGAAAGGCCTCTGATCCTCATGGCTCTTCCATCTCCATCAAGAGATATGATGGAGAATGAACAGCATCGAATGAACAGCTCCTGCTCCTCACCCGACTTGACTAAGAACAAATTTTGACCAGCTTTGAACAAGGGGACATGAGAGGCTTTATAGTCCCCACTCCTGCTACTATACTATGAAGACACTTCAGGCAAGTGTCCCAGTGAGGCCACTCAGACATCCAGTAGCCAGGCCTAGACCAACTCACCAAGCCATAAAAAATGACAGACACTAGTTACTTTAAACCATCAAGTTGTTTTTTTTTCTTTAGTAGTACTGGGAATTAGGCCCAGGACCTCAGATGCGCTAGATAAACAGTGAGCCACACTCCACAGTTCATTTTACTTTTTAATTTGAGACAGCGTCTCACTAAGTTGCCAGGCTGGCCTTGAGGATGCGGTCCTCCCACCTTGGCCTCCTGAGCAACTAGGATCACAGGTATGCCACTACGCCTGGCCAAGCCACTAAGTTTTGTAGTGATTTACTATGCAGGAAAAGTGTCTAATGCAGGGACGTGCAGGGTGGATGCTCAAGTCTTGTGAGTGGCACAGAACCATCAGCAGAAACAAGAAGGGGCAGAGGCATCTGTAGCTGCTGTGACGTGGTGCAGAAATAAAACCCTGCACCGAGGCAACTCAGAAGGTGGAACACGTGCCTAAAAAATGGGAGATTCTCAGGGAGAACACCTCCAGACAGTGCAGAAAGGGCTCCCAAGCTGCAGTGCTGCCAGATGACCATTCTCTTGCACACAGAATTTACAGGGAGTCCAGGGGTCAAACTATTTCACATCTCCCATTTCTCACTTGACAACAACTATCCAAGTAAACAGCATCTGAGCAAATGCCACCACAATGGGGCTGAGGGCCTTGGTTCAAGGACTTTCAAGGCCATGTGTGGCGAAAGGCTCTGCCCCAAAAGACAGGCCATTCTCAAAGATCTCACCATGTAGCTTTTGAGCAGGACTGTCTACCTGGTGCGTGGCCTGCCTGACCCTGCATGCTAGGTGTGGGAAGGGGAAGCAACTATAGTTTCAGTTCAAGAATCTCTGGATCAAGAGATGTTTCAACTGCACCTAGACCTGAGGTGGCCTGCAAGGCTATGGAACTGAAGCCAGGTGCCACAGCTAGAGAAGACCCTGCTGAGTCCTGGAGAATGGAGTGGCTGTGCAGAGGATGGTGGCAGACTACAGAAGCAGCCACAGCATCCTGCAACTCTCCCATCCAGAGGCAGCCTTAGTCCACCCTGAACCAGGGCACAGCTGTGTAACAAGCTTCAGCAATGGGAGGTATAGGAGAAAGAGAAAGAAAAACACCTGGGAAAGAAGTCCAGGCCACCAGATGGAGGACAAGAGGCTGGCAGGCAGAGGTGAGCCATCACGACAGCCACCAGGACACCAGCCTATCAACCAGATAGTGACTGAGGCTCCAGGACCAACCCAGCTCACCATGGGGCAGTCAGGCAGCCAGACCACAGAAAGCAGCAGTCCTTGTCCAACTGCAAGAATCCATATCTGTGTCCTAAGCCACCAAGTTTGAGGTGGTTCCTTACACAACAAAAGTGACCAACATAGAAAAGGACCTGAACTTGGGTGTTGACAGAGCAAAGCCGGTCCACAGCAGCCACTTTCTCTAATGAGGACAGGAAATAAAGGAAACAAACACAACACCTTAATTCTGAGGGCCTGTGCCAGCTGAAGCACACATTCAGGAGAGCCCCAGGGGTCGGTCACTGTCACCAGCAGCCAGATGACCATTCTCTTGCACACAGAACTTACAGAGAGTGCAGGATATTCACAGGGGACACAGCTCTTTAAGTTCACAACTGTATAAGAAGATAACAGCCCAAGAAGAAAGGCCTACAGATAATAATATTGAAGGCCCCTGATGTGGGCTACATGGCATCATCCCCAGCAGCTGGAGACTTCCCATGTAGAGCTGGCCCTCCCTGGAGGCTCCTTCCCCAAGTTCCTGGGTGAGAAGTGCTGAAGCTGGAAGGTGTGGCAATGGGCTCCCCACAGCAGCCCCAAGGTGCTAGAAGGAAGCCACACAGGTTTCCCTGACCCAGTGCCACTTCTGACACTCTCTTATCAAGCCACTCACAATCTAGGTGAGGAGACATGGGCACTGCTCTGGGTCAGGCTGGGGAGGAAGCAGCAGAGCATGTGCAGGACACCTCTAAGCTATGTGCCAAGGTGCTGACAAAGATCAAAGGAGAACCTCACGGGTAACTCTGCAGGAAGGCCCTCCCAGAAGCCTGCCAGGGCCTTGGCCACACCCACAGAACAGGGAGGATCATGCACCCAGGACTCACGAGTTCTGGGGCCAATCCTGCTCAACTGCGGCACCAGCCTCCACTCTGCCCCAGGAGGGAGATGGATGCACGGTGCCCAATGCTGGAGTGTCCAGCAGAGGAAAGCGGACTGAGGCCAGCCCCACCACAAAGCTGCCAGCAAGCCACTCACACAAGCAGCACGAAGCAAAAGGGAGTGGTCTAGAGCCTCCCTCTGAGAGGTTCTATGGTGAAGAGCTTATCTGGCACACACAAGACCCCATGTTCACTCCTCAGCACTGCAAAAACAAGCTACAGAGAGTGAAGAGACAAAAGCATGTCCACACCCCCTGGGAGGTCCAGGCAGCAGGATACACACGCGCGAGCTGGGCAAGGTGAGCCTTAGCCTGGGAGTTAGGCCCTCTGGTGGGAAGAGCATGGGGCTCAGCAGCCCTCTCCAGGCTGACTACCCTGCTTGCCTCATCCCCAGTCAGGCAGGAGCCATCTACCCGTCCTAACAACCCTGCGTGTGGGTGGCAAATGGAAGCCAGCACTCACTCGGATGCTAATGCTCAAGGCAGACCTCTGATCCAAGAAGTGGGAAAGTACTCAGTCTCATGAGGAATGTCAAGGCAGACACTGGCGCTTCACCTTCACCTCTTTAAAAAAGTCTCCAGCTGTCCCCACTGTTCCACTAATCAAGAGAAATGCCAGGTATTTCTGGGAACATGGTGGCTACACCAAGGAGCTACTGTGCCACCCACGCTTTCACTGATCCTCACATTCAATGCTGTTCATTCTATAGCTGGCACTTAAAGAAAGGCTGAGTCCAGGCTGAGAACCACCACATTCAAAGAAACCTCCAGGCAGCCCCGCCCAGCCCCCACCACCCTCAGCAGGCGCAGGGCTAGGCCTTACCCGTGAGGGGCCAGGTTCGTGGTCACCAGCACCGTCTTCACCTCCTCCACACCACTGCCGTCGGCTGCAGTGTCTGGGGTCGTCACAACCACCACCTCTTCCATGTGGACACTCACATCTGGCGTAGCCATGGCTCTGAGGAGAGGACGCTCGGACTGCAGCGTCACTCTTCCAGGTTCCCAATCCTGGACAAGGCAGAACACAGGTGGCAGGGTGGTCTCCAGGTCTGCTCAAAAGAACACCCAGCAAACAGCCTCTCTGCTTCTCCAAAGATCCTCCTCCAAGCTCCTAGCTGCTACTCTGACAAGCAGCAGTAGCAATGCAGGAACTCTGCAGGGTCTGAGGTTGGCAGGGGCAAAAGCCACTCTTTTTCCCCTACAGGAGCCACACTCCCCCAAAGGACAGGGAGGGAGACCAGAATTCCAGGTGTGAATTCTCTAATGCAGGGTATCCAGCTGCTATTCTCCCTTCTATCTCTGGCTGATCTCAAGGGCAGCCCAAACCATAAGACTGAGCACAGGTACAGACAGAAGCCACCTGATAAGTCCTCTCTGTGGCTGTGAAAAGGGAAACCCATATGGGACAGAAAGAAAGAGGGATGACCTGCTTTTCATTATTCTACCATTACTATCTTTTGTCTTCACCAGTCTCGCCCTCAGGCAAAACCCAAGCCCCTACCTGAACCCTGAAATGATGGCAGAGGCCTGGCAAGCACCAAAACTCCCAGGAAAGGGAAGCCCTGTCCCATTAAGGGCAACAGTCCCCAGAGCATGAGTGCCCACACTGTACGCTTTCCCTCAGGCATAGGACAGACTCAGTAACAAGATGTGGTGGCACACATGACAGTCCTAAGTTTCTAGCAGAGGACAAGGAAGGGGTCCCGAAGTCAGAGTGGCACAGTAGACAGGAGGAAGGTGAGACTGGTTACACACAGCCACGGGGGAAAGCCTGGGTCATCCCAACCTTGGACCAGGCCTCAGATGGGGCACTGCAGACTCTGAAAACTGACTGACTGACCCGAGTATGGCCACAGATGGCCTGCAAACATGCACTCCAGGCTCAGGTGGAGCTCCTGCTGCAGTGAGAGCATCTGAACCTTCGGGGAGGTGGGGTCACAGCCTTGACCTCATGGCAGAACACCCAAGTGTCCAGGGTGTGATCCAGAACTGCTTAGCACACAGAGGCCAGGAAAGCCCTATCACCTCTCATGGGAAAACATTCAAGAGCTGCTCACTCTGAGGTTTATGTTAGAGTCAACAAGAGACAGGCAGGTGCCACATCACATCCAAGGGTAAGCAAGCACTCCCAAGTTTTCACCCACCAAACTGAGAATCAACGAGTAGAGTAACCAGGGCTGGGCATGCAGTTCAGTACAGAGCAACTGCACAGCACATGCGAGACCTTGGGTTCCATCCCCAGCACTGAAAAATAAGCAGTGGCCAAAGTAAAATAAAAGATCACTGGATGGGTACTATAGCAGCATGTAGATAAGAGAGGATGGAGAAAGAGAACATGAGACAGAAGAAAACATCCAGTCAGGTGTGGCAGTGCACACCTGTGATCCCAGCAGCTGGGAAGCTAAGGCAGGAGGACTATGAATTAGAAGCCAGCTGCAGCAACTCAGTGAGGCCTTAAGAAACTTGCAACTTAGCGACCCTGTCTCTAAATAAAATGTAAGAAGGATTGGGGATATGGCTCAGTGGTTAAGTGCCCCTGGGTTCAATCCCTGGTACAAAAAAAAAAAAAAAAAACCTGAGCAGCAGAGAATACTAGAACACATAGGAAACAGAGCCTCAGGGTTAAGCAGCAGCCATGAGGCTGAGCACTGTGACACTGGAGTTCCAGGGAGAGGACAAAGTACTGAACACTTTCCAAACTTAGAAAGACATAAACGTGCCCATTTGAAACACTCAGTACACTTCCAATGGACACGCCCACATTATAATCAAGCCAGAAACCAAAAACAACATTGAAAAATCTTGAAACAGATAAAAAAAAGTATGCATTACCATACAGGACAACTCAAACAACATGGAGTAGTCCTCATAAATCACAAGGGCTGGAAGGCAGGGAATGGTGTTTTGTTGTTGATTAAATATTTTTTTAGTTGTTGATGGACCTTTATTTTACTTATTTATATGTGATGCTGAGAATCGAACCCAGTGCCTCACATACGCTAGGCAAGTACTCTACCACTGAGCTATAACTCCAGCCCAGGGAACAGTATTTTTTAAAAAATATTTATTTTTTTTTAGTTTTAGGTGGACACATCTTTATTTTATATTTATGTGGTGCTGAGGATCGAACCCAGGGCCTCATTTATGCTAGGCAAGCACTCTACTACTGAGCCACAACCCCAGCCCCACAGGGAACAGTATTTTTAATGTATTAAAATAACTGTTTTCAGGTGTGGTGGAGCACACCTCTAATCCCAGCAACTCAGGAGGCTGAGGCAGGAGGACAGCAAGTTGAAGACCAGCCTGGGAAGCTTAGCAAGGCCCTGTCTCAAAATAAAAGATATAGGGGCTAGGGTTGTGGCTTAGCGGTAGAGTGCTCACCTAGCACATGTGAGGCCCTGGGTTCGATCCTTAGCACCACATAAAAATAAATTAATAAAAAATAGGTATTGTGCCCAACTATAACAAAAAAATATTTTAAAAAAATAAAAATAAAAAATATAAGAAGGGCTAGGGATGTAGCTCAGTGTCTAGCATGTGCAAGGTCCTGGGATCAAGCCACAGAACAGAGAGAGAAAAGAGGAGATAGAGAGGAGTAATGAGGAAAGAGAGAGGAGTAATGAAGGAAGGGGGGGGGGGGGGGACTGCCAATCCAGGATTTTATACCAGTGAGATCTTTCAGGAATGAAGACAAAATAAAGGTATTTCCAGGTAAAGGAAAATTAAAACAACTGGTCACCATCATCTGCTCTCCAAGAGAGAGCAATGGAAGTTCAGAAAAGAAATCAGGACCAATGAAGAGGGGCCTGGAACCTCAGGAATGAGGGAAGAGTAACCCAAGTAATCAATACAATAAACCATTTGCCTCTTGCATTCTCTAAACACCTGTAACCCTGGATGCAACAATTGTAACACTGCCTGATGGGATTTTCAACACAGGAGGCACACAATAGCCAGGACCCAAAGGGAGGGAGAATATATGTGGACCCCTGCTTCTCCCCTCCACAGAAGAGACAACTTGTTCATGTTCCAGACATCAGATCAGGTCTCAGAGATAAAAAGGAATGAGCTACCAATGTGCTAAAGGACACGGTGGAAATGTACATGCATTTACTGAATCGAGAGAGGGCAGAGGAGGCCCCACCAGGATTCCATGCTGCCTCACTCTGGAAAAGACAGAACCACGGAGACAGTAGAAAGACCTGTGTTCAAGGCTGGGCGCAGTGGCACGTGCCCATAATCCCAGCAGCTTGGGAAGTGGAGGCAGGAGGGTCACATGAGTTCAAAGTCAGCCTCAACAATTTAGCAAAGTGCTGTAAGCAACTCAGTGAGACCCTGTCTCTAATAAAATACAAAATAGGGCTGGAGGTGTGGCTCAGTGGTTGAGGGCCCCTGAGTTCTATCCCTGGTAACTCCCCTTCCCCCAAAAAAGAAAGATCCACTTTCACCAGCCTGGGGGAGAGAGGGGAACACAGGGCTTGGGGGCAGGGGGCTCTCTGCCTACAGCAGTGATGTCACTACACATCCATCAAACCCACAGGGTGTCCACATGGGAGGGAGCTTTTGGGGGACAGCATGGTCAGAAGGCTCATGGGCTACAGCAGTAGCCCACTCTAGGGATGTCAATCAGAGCAGAGGAGAAGGGCTTTGGGAACCCTACCATACCTTCAGCTCAATTGTGCTAGGAGCCTACAACAACCCTAAGAGATTAGCTACTAATTTTTTAAAATTAAGTATATAGCCAGAAGGTACATACCTATGATTTCAGCTCCTCAGGAAACTGAGGCAGCAGGATCCCAAGTTGAAGGTCAGTCTGAACAACTTAGTGAGACTCTGTCTTAATTTTTTTTTTTAAATGGGCTAGAGATGCAGTTCAGTGATAGTGTGCCCCTGGTTTGATCCCCAGTATTGGGGGGTGGGGTGTGGAGTTAAATAGGTATATTACAATAGAAATAATAAAGAATATAAACGGGAATAAAAGTCAGGCTACAGACTGGAAGGAATTATTTGCAAATCATATGTCTGATAAAGAACCTGCATCTGAGATATATAAATAACACTAATACAGCACCAACTTTATTTTATTTTTACTTCCTTATTTATTCATTTGTACCAGGGATTGAACGCAGGGGTGCTTTACCACTGAGACACATCCCCAGTCCTTTTTATTTTGAGACAGGGTCTTGCTAAGTTGCCCAGGATGACCTGGAACTTGTGATCCTCCTGCCTCAGCCTTCCTGGATTTTTCCAAATGTTTCCTGGATTACAGACGTGCACCACCACACCTGACTCAGCACCCATTTTTTGTTGTTATTGGTTTTTTACACAGCATCCATTTTTAAAAGTGGCAAAAGATTTGACTAGAAACTTCACCAAAGAAAAAATAAGGATGGGTCCAGGGTATGGTGGTGCACACCTGTAATTTCAGTGGCTTGGGAGGCTGAGTCAGGAGGATCAAGAGTTCAAAGCCAGCCTCAGCAATGGCTAGGTGCTAAGAAATTCTGTGAGACCCTGTCTCTAAATAAAATACAACATAGGGCTGGGGATGTGGTTCAGTGGTTGAATGCGCCCCCAAGTTCAATCCCCGGTACCCTCCCCCCCCAAAAAAAACTTACATCTACTTGAAAACCTGTACACAATTTCTTATGACAGCATTACTCCTGTCAAAAGCTGAAAACAACCTAAAGGTCCTTCAGGAGGTGAGAGTATCACAAGAGAGAACACCAAGCAGCAGGAAATAAACTATGGATTTGTCAACAACCTGGATAAATCTCTAAGGACCAAGTGGGTAGAAAAGACACCCCCATAGGAGGTGCCACAGGAGAGAACCCCAGGACTCCTATTAGGCAAGGCCACACAAATGCAGGGACAGGTGCAGCCCACAGCAAACATGACCAAACGGGAGGTCCAGGGAGGCTTCCAGGGTGCTGTCTCTCTGTACTTTAATCACAGAATAGCTTCACGAATCTACTCATGAAACAATTCATGCAACTGTACACAAAAACCAGGATGCTGATTTACCACTTTAAAATCTTCTTAAGGGCTGAGGCTACGGCTATGGCTCAGTGGTAGTGTGCTCACCTAGCATGCATGAGGCACTGGATTCAATCCTCAGCACCACATAAAACATAAAGATATTGTGTCCACCTAAAACTAAAAAATATTTTTAAAAATAATAAAATCTTCTTAAAACTGAAACTAGCAAAAGACACTTGCACCCTTGCATATATGGTCAACTGATTTCCAGCAAGGCTGCCAACACCATTTAATAGGGAATGGGGACAGTCTTTCAAACTGAGGTGTGGATGACTGTTCATCCACATGCGAAATAAAAGCTGAATTCACACCACCTTACATTACACTCAAAAATTAGCTCGAAATGATCAAACCTAAGAGTAAAACCATAAAACAATTAGAGGGAAACTCAGGGCAACATCTTCATGACACTGGATTTGGGGATGAAAAGCTCAGACAGCCAAAGAGAAAACAGGGTGGGGTACAACTCAGTGCTGGAGTGCTTGCCTAACATGTGGCACGCAGCAGGCCTCAGATCCTGGGTTCATCTCTGCTCCCACCAACAAAGTTACACAGAGTAACTAGGAGATATGCAACTGAAAGCAGGGACTTTGTTCAGATACTTATATACCAGTGTTTGTAACATAGCCCTCACAACAGCCAAAAGTAGAAACGCCCAAACACACACAGGAACGAAGAAAAAGAAGACGGCACAGTTACTCAGCCTCAAAACCGAATGAAATTCTGATATCTACTAGTATATGGGTACTCTGAAAACGTTATACCAAATAAAGGAGCCAGATACAAAAGAATGAATGAGCAGAGCTTTTACCTAGCCAGTACAAGGCCCTGGGTGCAATCCCCAGCTACTGGGGTGGGGGTGGGGGACAGACACGGGATGCTTGGGTGTAAGTACAAAAACAAGATAAAAGTGCTAGTGTTCGGTTGGCCAATACATCCCATTCCAAGATTTGACTTTCTTCTGGCAAATCAAAACTATTTTCCTTTGAAGCAGAGGTACAGTTGCACACCTATAATCCCAGCTACTTGGGAATCTGAGGCAAGAGGATGACAAGTGTGAGCCCATCTTAGGCAACACAGCAAACCCCGTCACAAAAAAACAAGCCAGGCATAATGGTGCACACCTGTGATTCCAACTAGGAGGCTGAGGCAGGAGTCTCACAAGTTGGAGGCCAGTGTGGGCAACTTAACAAAACCCTGTCCAAGGGATGGATGTAGATTGGTTAGGTTTAATCCCCGGTACCCAAAACAAACAAAAAAAACTCAAAAAAAAAAAGGAAATGACACCATGGAGAGCAGAGGGTATGACCACCGGTCCACAGGCGTAATTCCTTTGATCCTCAGTGTTTTGAAACATTTTAATTAGTTCAAAACATGTGAAGTTTCCAGCTTCTTCAAAAGCTATCAGCAGTGAGCTCTGGAGGCATCCAGTGTCAGGTAGACAGGCACCAGCCAGCTGCTCACACCCAAAGGCAGTCCTGTGCTACCTGCCGCCACCTCCTTTCACAGCCCAGACACAGCAGTTATTCCAAGGCTCGGTCTGCATTTGGTTTTGCAAGTGCTCAAGGCAGGCACACAAATCCCTCAGGGATGTCTTCCCAAAGCCTTTAGAAACAAATTCTGAGCAGGGAGTTTGCTGATCTTGTTATAGGTAGTTTTTATTTAACCAGCTCATTTTAACTGAGTAGGACAAAACAGTGTTTGAAGAGTCAGCAACCATCGACTAGGTGAACTAACAGCTACTAACCATGAGCCACACTGATTCAGTTCTCACCACTGGGTCTCTATGAATGGGGCTTCCACTGCCCGGTCCTGGAAGGTTCCTGGCCACACAGTCCCCACTGCTGGGTCCCCATGGTGGGTTCTGGTCACACAGTCCCCACTGCTGGGTCCCCATGGTGGGTTCCTGGTCACACGGTCCCCACGGGTGGGTTCCTGGCCACACCGTCCCCACCGCTGGGTCCCCATGGTGGGTTCCTGGTCACACAGTCCCCACTGCTGGGTCCCCATGGTGGGTTCCTGGTCACACAGTCCCCACTGCTGGGTCCCCATGGCAGGTTCCTGGTCACACAGTCCCCACTGCTGGGTCCCCATGGGTGGGTTCCTGGTCACACAGTCCGCACTGCTGGGTCCCCATGGTGGGTTCCTGGTCACACAGTCCCCACGGTGGGTTCCTGGCCACACAGTCCCCACTGCTGGGTCCC